TACAGTGCTTGAGTATTCTCTGTTATTGCATATAATAATTCATACTCAGAAAGCAGAACTGAGATGGCATTTATTGCAAGATTAGTTAAAACATTTCAATGCACCTGCAGACTATTTTTCCAGGCATGTTTTTCATCATTGAAGATTTCTTAAAATAGTGTAAAAATCTTGTCTAGTCTCATTCTTGTGAACCCTATCTCGTGTGCAAAGTTACAATGATATAAAATTAGTGTCATTAATTTTTTTGTTTGTATGTTCACATTGATGTTAAATTACATTTTCTGATTTGTGACATTACTTTTTATGTAATGCTAAAACACTGCTGGTCACTTTCAGAAGTTGTAGTGATTCTTTCTTTTCCAAGAAAGAATGTGAAACAAATTGGTTATATAATTTTCATTTTTAAATATTTTAAAAGATAATTTAAATTGATTTTACACACTTTAAGCAATATCGTATCGCATATCGAATATCGCATTTTTTAACAAGGTATCGCATATCGCATTTTTCTTCAATATCGCACAGCCCTAGATTTTGGGATATAGAGGTCATGTTAGGATAGTTTGTCAGGTGGAGCTGCTTGCAGAGAAGATGTTTTCTTTGCAATTAGGGGTACGCAATATATCTATACTATATTGGTTAATGGTGCATATTTGAAATCTTTTTATTTTTTCTTTTACTAGTATCAGTTAATACTATTAAACATGACTGATATTTATGAAGTTATTGGTATTGTGACAGATTTTTTCATTTTGTTCATCGCACAATAACAAAGATCAAGGATAGGTTCTGGAGCCCCATTTTTACAGATGTTCTTACTGTTAAGAACATCTCAAATAACTTGTGTGTATGTGTGTGTTTTAGCCATTGCCGTATGATCTCCCGCTACATGCAGGGATAATGCCCCGTCTCCTGATTACTATAGTGGGTGAGCCAGTACCAGGAGGAAACAGGTAATAAAAAAAATTATAAAAAAAATACGGCATTACTTCTGTGTGTCCAAAGCAAACTCTCACTTGTCTTTTTTCAGGTTCCATGTAGATTTTGTGAGGGGGCATGACGTGGTTTTCCATTTCAACCCTCGTTTCCATGAGAACACCATCGTACGGAACACACAGCTTGGGGGCTGCTGGGGTCCTGAGGAGAGAGAGGGAGGCTTTCCCTTTGTGCAGGGCAGACAGTTTGAGGTACAGCCTTCTGATTTACCCATAGAGAAGGAACTTAAAGGAATAGTTTACTCAAAAATGAAAATTCTGCCATCATTTACTCAACCTTAAGTTGTTGCAAACCTGTATGAATTTCTTTCTTCTGCTGAACACAAAAGAAGATATTTTGGTATGTGGGTAACTAAGCAGTTTCTGGTACCCATTGACTTCCATAGTAGTAGGTTGGTTGTTATAGGTAATAGGTTGTAATAGGTTGTTGCTTCATACTAGAATAGAATAGAACTAGAATAGTTCACCCAAAAATTTAAATTTGCTGAAAATGTAGTCACCCTCGGGCAATCCAAGATGTAGATGAGTTTGTTTCTTCATCGGAACAGATTTGGTTAAATTTAGCATTACATCACTCACCAATGGATCCTCTGCAGTGAATGTGTGCTGTCAGAATGAGAGTCCAAACAGCTGCAAAAACATCACAATAATCCATAAGTAACCTACATGACTCCAGTCCATCAATTAATGTTTTGTGAAATGAAAAGCTCCTTATTTGTAATAAAGAAATCCATCATTAAACAGATGCTTCTGGTTAAAATATGAGTCCTCTATCCATATTGCTTTCTCCAGTGAAAAGGTTGTTGCTGCATTATAAGATAAATATGCATTGTTGCTTGATCTGTGCAAATATACACAGATCGAGCATTGTTCTAAACAAATATGTTGGTGGATTTTGATGTAAGAGGACAACAGGACATGGACTTTTTCACTGGAGGAAGCGTTGTTATGGATTATGGGCCCATATTTTGGCCAGGAGCAATGGTTTAAAGTTAGAACATCTTAATGATGGATATGTTTCTTACAAACACACAGCTTTTCACTTCCCATGATGTTAATTGATGGACTGGAGTTGTGTGAATTACTTGTGGTTTATTGGGATGTTTCAGCTGTTTGGACTCTCATTCTGTGACCCATTCACTGCAGAGGATCCATTGGTGAGCAAGTGATGTAAAATGCTAAGTTTCTCCAAATCTGTTCCTATGAAGAAACAAACTTATTTACATCATGGATGGGGAGAGTACATTTTCAGCAAATTTTTCAGTTTTTGGGTGAACTATTCCTTTAAGCCATATTGGGTTTCATTTGAGGTTTCATATAATGTATTTGTGTGTACAGCTGAAGATCCTGGTGGAGACAGACGGGTTTAAAGTGGCAATGGATGGCATTCATCTGCTGGAGTTTGAGCACAGAACAGGCGAGATGGAGGATGTCACTCGCCTGCACATAGAGGGAGACCTCATTCTGTTCAGTGCAGCCCCCAGCATGATCTAAAACCTACGGGCATAGGAGCGATTTGACAATGTTGAGGTGACATATTAAGTCATTGGTCCTTGAAAAGTATAGATAATCTCCAAAAAAGTGTGCCAAACAGAAATTTCTAAAAGTTATAATGATATATTTGTTATCTGCCTCTGCAGATTAGTCAAACTCAAACACATGATCAAACAAATGAAATATAGATGTAGAGAAAGTTTCAGCCCCTCTGAGAGGTCACCAGGACACTGATATCGTTGATATATCTAAAGCAATATAACTTTCTGTTTTTCCTTTCAGAATGCATTATGCTAGTTACTCTTTAGCATGTAAAACAAATTTTGTAAAAACGAAAAGTGTACTGTTCCAAACACCTATTGTATGACCTTCAGTATTAGGATGGTACAGTACCAAGGCCCATGAGGGGTCATAAACTCTAATTCAGGAAACTGCAGACCAGAGCTGTGACACTGTGCTGAATTACATCAGATCTGAATGGCTGAATATTATTTTATTTAGTATGGATATTGGAAAATTTTCATTATTTTCAATAAAACCATATTAATGAAACCATTGTGATAATGGAGATAAGCAAACAATTATGTCCGAATAAATGCTATACTACCCCAATTGAAATGTGCTTGGTCATATTGTATTCTGCATGTTGACCTGAGATAAGAGGAAGTAATTTAACCGAAATAATTACACGCTTCATTTGTAAACCCAAGCTTTGCTGTTTTATTATAAGTATGCATTTCACTGGTCATGGAAATGTGCCTAAAGTTTAATTTAGACAAGTGTAAGTATTGGGACAAACTGCCATGTCATAAAATTGTGCCTTTGTCACATACTGTTTGCATCCATGTGTAAGAATTAGCTTCGTTACAATTGTTACAATTCAATATTAGCACTACACTCTTGGGTTCAAACATTTAAAAAGGCAACCTGGGGACCATAATGCTCTTTCATGTTTTTGACAGATATCAAACTCCCAATACAAAAGCAAAACATAATAATATAAATAAAAAGATTATAAAAATATACAATAACATGTTCTGATATAATAGACAGAATATGAACAATTTCTGGACACAATGCATTGATGAAGCAGTATGATTTTTTTGATCGTCAGATTCGTGAATCATTCTTTTGAATCTAATGATTTGATTGAACCGTGAACCGTCCCTTCAAACAACACATTCGATTCATCGACAGCATTTGACTGGTTAAAGGCACAATATGTCATTTTCGCCGCTGGAGGGCGCGTATTCAAAATAAACAAAGAAGCAAAGGCGTAGTTTGATGACGCCGTGACTGAGTGTGGAATCATGGGAGTTGTGGTCTTCATCCCCACAGCCGATGCAATCCGACGGGACTCGGGCACAAATCATGTTCATGGATGAGCTAATGATTTATTAACGTAGTAGAATGAAGCAGGGTGAGGCTGAAAGCCGTCGAAGCGAAACGAGGCCGCTGAACGAGCGTGACACACGGCTCGAAAGCAGCGGAGATTTTATTATGCCACAGTCGACCGCTTCCGCTCCTTCCAGTCCTGCATATGTGGGAAAAAAATCAGCCCTGTTTTATCATACTAGATACATTTGAAAGTTCTGTTATAATGCTACTCTGTGCAGTCGTCACTGGTCTATTAAAACGCACAACATATTAAAGCGTCTTTGGTGTTTCCATGTTTTCTTCAAAACAAAACAGAAATCGAGGGGCTATGACATCATTGGCAGGCGACACAATGACATTATGGACATGGTCCGTGTCACTAGTTAAAATTGCTTATTTCTCTGGATTTAAACATTCTTCGAAACATTTGGGATAATGTAAGTACACAAGTCAGCAAAATATATAACACTGTTCTAGTGGTTTTTGGATATTTTAATAAAAAAATCTTACATATTGTGCCTTTAACAGGGTCTATCGGAAGTACCTACTGGAAATGTGTATTACTAAGTATATAATGGTTTAAAACGGGTATTTTTTTTCAGCCAAGAGATGAAAATTAATTTTAGTGTTTAATGTGCTATTTCCTTTGTGTGCTATAAAAATTACGATAAACATCGTTATTAATAATTCTAATTTAAAACACACACACACACATGTCAGGGGACACGTCATGCCGTAATTACCGAATCAATTTTTTTAACAAGTGTTGAACTGTTTGCAAGAACCGATTCTCGGAAATTAGTCTGGCTTCCCCTCACTGCAGTGCACTGTGAAAGTGTTCCGGTGGTGTCCGTTAGGGGGCAGTGGCGGGTACGCACGTATCCCGGTGTTCCGGCGAATTCAGTTCCCCTGTTTCCCCCTCACAGCACCATAAGCTGACTTGCTTAGCCGGGGCGAAATCATGACGTCATGATTTTAGTACTGAAGTTTCAGGGTTGCCAGGATATTTAAAAAAAAACCGCCCAATTGCTACTAAAAACTACCGCTGGAAAACCGCGGACTTGGCAACACTGCGAAGTTGCGCAGGCGCTGTGTGGGGGAAACAGGGGAACTGAATTTACCGGAACACCGGCAGCATTAGAGGAAGCAGGCGGGGTTCCGCACGCTTTAGGAGGGTTTTAGCTGTTCGGGAATAAAAAGTGAAACTTCTCCGACAACATGAACGGATCCGCACACAACGCGCCGAGCGTTGTAGAAATGACGCTGAAAAGAGGCCCGGTCAGCCTGGCGGTTCGGTGCTGTTGGTTCGGTCCGCTCCCGCAAGAAATGCTGACATAACTGGCGTAGTGAACCCGAACAGACAGTCCGGACCCGAATGTGTTCTGCAGACGATCAGATCGGGTTTATTAAGAGACGTTGGTGTTGTTATGAAAGCGAAAGTTAAGTTTAGATCAGAACCAGCACAATACGCCATCAGCATAATGGACCGACATGTACAAACAAGACACATTTCCGAGAATCGCGATCTCGATTCCATTTCGATTTATCGTGCAGCCCTAAACGAGACCCTTTTATCTTAAGAAGTGACGTCTGGCTGGGATCATGTCTGTTTTTTCCCCCTTCCCCATTTCTTCAGAAATCACATTAAGGCCCTCTGAACGTATTTCAGGCTCAGTGTAATGATGTAAGTAGTTCAAACACGTGCTGTATGTAACATCCTCTCTGTCTGTGACAGGTCTGGGGTTTAATATAGTGGGTGGAGTTGACCAGCAGTATATTATGAATGACAGTGGAATCTATGTGGCAAAAATCAAAGATGGTGGAGCGGCTGCACTGGATGGACGTCTGCAGGAGGGAGACAAAATTCTTGCGGTAAAACCACTGTAATTTACTGTACATGGTTAACAAATCATACTTTACTAATACTTAATGCTTGACTATCTCTATACTTAACTTTGAATCAATACTGCCACTTCACTGTACAACAGCGCAACTGTAGTGTACATGAGTGATTTATTGTAAATCAATGCTTGCTGTAATCCTGTGGATGACCTTACTCCGCTTTAATTCAGATCCTCACAATAATGATACTACAGCATTGCACTTTTTTTTTGTGGTTGTGTTACCAGAACAAAAGTGTATATATTTTTATTTTCTTTTATATACTTTTTCCCCCCAAAGATTTGTGGTCGGTAACTGCTTTTAACTGTTAAGTAATATTACGTATTACAATGGCAATATTGTAAAATATTATTACAATATAAATGAACTGTTTTCTATTTTAAATGTCAGCTTATTCCTGAGTTGCCAAAGCAGCTGTTACTTCAGAATTCATTCTAATATACTGATTTGCTGCTCAAGAAACATTTATTATTATAAAGGTAGGCACTTATATCAAATCCAAAGGGAAGTTAAACATAAAATTGTTGATAGTGGAAATCGGAGAGAAGAAATTGTGTTAACTAGGCTAAGACTGGGACATTGCTTATTAAATAAAACACTTAAATTGATAGGGAGGCATGATACTGGACTGTGTGAGGGTTGTCAGGAAGAGGAGTCAGTAGAGCATGTGGTCTTGAGATGCAACAGGTTTGGAGCACAGAGAGAGGTGATGAGGAATGAGCTAAGGGAGATAGGGGTTCAGGATATTACATTAAAAGGATTATTGAGCACAGAGCATAGGGCACAGACCAGAATTCTTATAAACTTTTTAAGAGTAACTGGGGTTTTTTATAGGATATGAAGAGTTAAAGGAATAGTGAGGAAGGTAAAGTATTATTATTATTATTGTTGTTGTTGTTGTTGTTATTAATGTTATTATAAAGCAGGGCAGGGATAAGGTGTGCGTGTGTAGGTATGTATGTGTTGGGATAAAGGTGGGAGAATGGGTGATTTAGTCTGTAAACCTATTTTCTGATCCACACTCCGGAGCAGAAGGTGGCGGTAAAGCACCAATACGCTGGATGCCAACCGCCGTAAAAATAGAAGAAGAAGAAGAAGAAGAAGAAGAAGAAGAGACAGAGCGCAAGTGAAGTAGGTGGTACTGCGCCTGTGTCGAGCTCGTCCGTCCGCACTCATCCGCGGTTGAGTATACTTTGAAAGCTGTGCGGACGCGGCTGTGCGCGAGACGGAACGGAACGCGTTAAGTGAAGTATACCCGGGCCTTAACAGTGCAATTTTGCTCAGACACCATCAATCAAATAGCCTAAACCTAGATGAAGGCTGACAGCTTCACCATGTTATGGGTTACACACATATTAAGCATTAAAGCTAACTCCCATCCTCTCTCTGTCACAAATAAACCACATGAGAGTGATGAGCACTATCTCAAATGAGTTTCCGTAATGATACACTGTCAAAAAAAAATTAATGTTAAGTGTGGCCAGTCATACATCATTAGGTGACACTAAAATGCAGCAAACATTAACTAACACAAATACCATATAAATCCCTCCAATGTGCATAACTGATAACAAAAATAAAAAGATTCTAACCTTTTAAACAAAATCGAAATAAATATTCTGGCTTGCGAGAATTCTGGGAATGCGTCTTTCTTTAGAGAGCAGAAAGAATCCTGTTATATTTGTAGATCGGAATAACGCATCGCCCCCGCCCCGATATAACGCTCGGCGCGGATGGAAGGGGATCATGATGATGATGATGTAATAATCGCACGCTCCGTTTATTCTAGTGCACACTAGGATCCTCACGCTCGTGACCCGGCCAGAGTGATGTCATCGTCAATACAGTGAACCGTGCTTAAGAATTTTCACCCCGCGTCAGTGCTGCTCAGCGCGGCCTCCATGAGAGCAAACTCCAGGACTGCGGCGCTGATGGCTGTTGCGGTCAGGACTGCACCAAGCTCCCTTCAACATCACAGCTGCGACCCCTGCGCTCAGACAAGCGGCAAAACCCGCGCTTCTTTACAGCAACATTCTATATGGAATATCTGTCATCTTAACGGAAATTCAAACTCCTGATTTGACTGACAGCCAGTCGTTGTGCATCGCCGATCATCTGCGCCCTTTTAGGACTTTTTTGGTTAGTGTCTACCCTTGAAAATCGGTGAAATCCGTTTTACTCGGTGCCTGTGCTCGCTTCTCCTCGCGCTTACCGGAGACTGTCCGCGCGCTGCTCACCCGGAGGCCACAAGTGCCTGTTTTTTCCCGCTAGATTCACCATTGATGGAAGCTGATGCCCTGTTGCCTTTCCTCGACCGTGTCTACCTTTGCTACCGCTGTTTCTTCTTTAGTAACGCGACTAGGCCCGCGAGCCCCCCTAAACATCTCATAATGACTCTTTGATGGATAAAATGACAAGAGCGAATCATTTATATCGTGTTTTGGTCTTTTGGGTGTTGGCGTTTCGACTTTGCTGTGTGTTTTAATCTTCTTTGGAACCGACACCCGGGTGCGCGAGGAGGGCAGCTGTCTCGAGAGCAATAAACGCCCGTTATCTTAAGGGTTCGCGCGCGCTTCTCTCTCAGGATGGCAAATGAACCCGTTATTCTTAATGTGTATGACATGGTAAGCTCATTAACCCTTTCGTCATTCATCCTTTACACTATTTAGCATCAACCTCGCTCCTTCTGGCTCTAATTTTCTGTAATTTTGCATGTAATAAATGTAAGATGAAATAACAATGCATTGATGAAGACTTTAGGAAACACTATATATCTGGGTGGTCACAGTGATAAAGAATCTGGGCCGCTGACAAAGTGGTATAATTTTGAAAACACGATTACAAACCTACTTTGCCTAGGTTTAATACTAAGCATTGACAGCAGTACTGATGTGCGAGTCTATGGCCGAGATGAGAGCGTGTGTGTTTCTCCTCCTGTGCTGGAGGAGGCGCTGTCACCCCATCACAATCAAAACACACTTTACTAGTACAGAACACATGGGGTCACCTGTTTTTATACAGTCTATGGTGGTCACAGATCTATAATAATTTTTATACAGTCTATGGTGGTCACAGAACTATAATAATATATAAATAAACATGCATATGTATAGCCTACAAGAGATCAGTGATTGTGGTAGGCCTAATCCTACCTTTTTAGCTTTTTATTTATGAAGTAGCACACTACTTTTCACCAATGTACTAAAACTATGTCTGTAAATGACTGTAAATTTTATGTAATATGTCAAAAAATCAAGAAAGTAATTAGTACATATATGTGGACATTATTTTTATCTATTTATTTTACATCTACATTTAATCAGAGGCATGGGTATATGCTAGTCTTTTTTCTGTCTACATTAAATCATGTTCTGCATGTTCTGTTATTCATGAACGGCAGCTGGTGCACCTTTTTGGCCCCACACAGAAACATCTCTGAATATTCACCCCTCCCCCTCCACTTTAAAGCTTATATTGTATAGTGTGTGTCAGGGTTGTGTAGCATTAACTGATTTTAATGCCTTATAGATAACACACACACACACACACACACACATATATATATATATATATATATATATATATGGATAGATAGATAAATAAATGCATATTTATAATAAACGTGTGACTCTCCAGACATAGACAAACAAAAACATTTTTATTTACTGTAATTAAAATATATGTTATTATATGATCTCTTTCTCCTTCTTGCTCTATTAGTACTGGATAAATGAATACACCTCCACTCTGGGCATTGGAGTCTTCCACTCAGGAATAGAGATTTACGGCAGAGGTACAGTGACCAATTAACTTTTTGCTATTATTTAATTATTTTAATTTATTTTTTCATCAAACTCTAGACCTCTACTGGAACCTTGGTCCAATTTGTAAAGAACTTATGTGAAAAAGGCTGTTTTAGCTACTAGGACTGCAATTAGTAGACATGGTAGTTGGTAGAGATTTTGTCTATACATTTAGAGTTCTAAATAAAAATACTATGACAAAATGAGAGTGAAAATTATTTAGAAGTGAATGAGCAACTGAATATGATTCATCATTACAGTATTTTTAAAAAATACAGTGGTGTGAAAAAGTGTTGGCCCCCTTCCTGATTTCTTATTTTTTTGCATGTTTGTCACACTTTAATGTTTCAGATCATCAAACAAATGTAAATATTAGTCAAAGATAACACAAGTGAACACAACATGCAGTTTTTAAATGAAGGTTTTTATTATTAAGGGAAAACAAAATCCAAAACTACATGGCCCTGTGTGAAAAAGTGTTTGCCCCCTAAACCTAATAACTGGTTGGGCCACCCTTAGCAGCAACAACTGCAATCAAGCGTTTGCGATAACTTGCAATGAGTCTGTTACAGCGCTGTGGAGGAATTTTGGTCCACTCATCTATGCAGAATTGTTGTAATTCAGCCACATTGGAGGGTTTTCGAGCATGAACCGCCTTTTTAAGGTCATGCCACAGCATCTCAATAGGATTCAGTTCAGTACTTTGACTAGGCCACTCCAAAGTCTTCATTTTGTTTTTCTTCAGCACTTCAGAGGTGGACTTGCTGCGGCATGATGTCTAGCTTTTGAGGATCTTTTGGTCTACTTCACTTTGTCAGGCAGGTCCTATTTAAGAGATTTCTTGATTGCAAACAGGTGTGGCAGTAATCAGACCTGGGTGTGGCTAGAGAAATTGAACTCAGGTGTGATAAACCACAGTTTTAACAGGGGATTTTGTTTTCCCTTAATAATAAAAACCTTAATTTAAAAACTGCATGTTGTGTTTACTTGTGTTATCTTTGACTAATATTTAAATTTGTTTGATGATCTGAAACATTAAAGTGTGACAAACATGCAAAAAAATAAGAAATCAGGAAGGGGGCCAACACTTTTTCACACCACTGTAGTAGTTATTGGAATAGCCACATTGAAGTAAGGTGATATTTGATATGGCATCACTGTTCTTGCTTGTTACTGTACATGTTTTTATTAATTCAACACGGTCACTGATGCAATCACTGTATCATATTTCTGCAATCTGTGCCTTGTCACTAGCATTTAAATGCATTATGTACCATGTGTAAGCTTTGCAAATGGCTTGACTTGACACCTACGAGTGGCAGTAAAGTGTTGTCTGTGTCTGTAGTGATGAACACAACAGAGGAAAAAACTGTAGCCATTAGTGAGGCCTCTGATCTGAGTCATAAAGTGACAGAACTTCTTTCACTATTTCTTTTTTTACCCTTACACACACACACACACACACACACACACACACACACACTGCTCAGCAGCATTGATACAGAGCAGACGTAGGCAGCTCTGAGGACTGAGCCATGATTCATTTGGATTTTTACAGAGCTTTAGCTTCTCACTAATAAAGTGCTGCAGGGATGACATATTTTTGTAGGCCAAAGCCCGAAAACGAGTTAGCATTTTAGCACTTCCAGTTCCTTCATCCTGAAGTCAATGTTTTTTTTTAAATGAATGTTTGGTTAAATGCCTGAACTAAGGTCTGAGGTTAACACACGCTCAAGATAGTTGCATTTTATTCTATGACATAAAATATATCAGTAATACGCCCTTGTGATTTTTTTTTACGTTTTTACTTGTCTTGACAAAAGTGGCTTGATGGGACTACAGAAACTGTCAGGGACATCATCACATCGAAGAGGAAAACTCTTCTACTCTCTAGTCCATTTTAACATAATTGCTCGTGCAAACTATTGTAACTCAAATTTTCAGGGAAAATGTCTCAGAAAATTAGTTGTTCAAACCTTGAAGTCATGTGACCACTGTTGTTCATTTATTGCCTATGTTTAGCTTTTTACTTCAGGCGATAATATTTAGGCTTAAAAGTTCATAAAAAATGTTTTAATTTGCGAAGATTATCATTATGAACAAAATGTATAAGAATCAAATTTTTGTTGGCAATGGAAGTTAATGGAAAAATCTTTTTGGATTTTTATTGAGGGAACCAGGGTGATGCTTACCTCCGTGTTGATCTGCAAAATTATGTCATTATTTCAGTGCTCTACACACATTTAAAACATAAAAATAAATTGTTATGAGGGCTTGTCTAAGTAAATCACTTTAGATTAAACTGCTAAATAACAAATAACCAAGTAGCTAATACTAGAAATATTCTAGTTAAAGTTAGCATTAAACAGAAATTGTGACCATCTTTTCTTAACTGTTGTGATGTATATCTGAGTAAAAAAGCTTCACAAATGGGAAAATTTAGGACGGGGTTTTATTTTGTCCATCGGGAATTGATTAGATCATTGTTGTTTGTTTTGTGAGTGACTGGTTGCTGAAGAGGAGGGATTATTGTGAGGTGGGATGTTGATATTTTTGATTAAAGTTTATGAATGCTTATGTTTTTTTAATGATGTGTACAAATTAGTTGTTTATAATAAACTATAATAAAACAAGTTGTCATTTTATGATGACTTTAAGCACAATATATTTATGAAATTCCTACTAAAGTGACAATCAAGATTTTCAAACCCTGTTTTAATGTTTTTGCTGTGTTTCCTGAAGAGTTTGCATATGGTGGCCATCCGTATCCCTTTAGTGGCATTTTTGAGATCAACCCTGGAAATGCCTCAGAACTGGGGGAGACTTTCAAATTCAAGTGAGTTTTACACATACACAATCACATATACACACACATTTAAAGGGTTACTCCACCCCAAAATGACAATTTTGTCAGTAATCACTTACCCCCATGTCGTTCCAAACCCCTAAAAGCTTTGTTCGTCTTCGGAACACAATTTAAGATATTTTCGATGAAAACCGGGAGGCTTGTGACTGTCTGATTGACTGCCAAGTAAATTACACTGTCAAGGTCCAGAAAAGTATGAAAGACATCGTCAAAATAGTCCATCTAAAGCATTGTCAGAATAGTCCATCTGCCATCATTGGTTCAACCGTAACGTTATGAAGCGACGAGAATACTTTTTGTACGCAAAGAAAACAAAAATAACGACTTTATTCAACAATTCGTCTCCTCTGTGTCTCTATCGCATCACTGTAGCGGCATTTTGGAGAATATCCGCTGAACGCAAGCAGCGTACGCTCTTCTGTGTCAGCCGCGCTGCACGGATGCGCTGTTTTCGTTCAAATCAAAGCGTAAATACACGTAGAAAACGTATCCTTGTGTCACGGCTGACACAGAATAGCGTACGTTGCTTGCGTTCAGTGGATATTCTCCAAAATGCCGCTACAGTGAGAGACACAGAGGAGACGAATTGTTGAATAAAGTCGTTATTTTGGTTTTCTTCACATATTCTCGTCACTTCATAACATTACTGTTGAACCACTGATGCCAGATGGACTATTTTGACGATGTCTTTCATACTTTTCTGGACCTTGACAGTGCAATTTACTATGCAGTCTATGGGACAGTCAAAAGCCTCCCGGTTTTCATCCAAAATATCTTAAATTGTGTTCCGAAGACGAACGAAGCTTTTACGGGTTTGGAACGACATGGGGGTAAGTGATTAATGACAAAATTTTCATTTTGGGGTGGAGTATCCCTTTAAGCCACAAAAAAAACAACACACAAGTTCTGTTTCTTCTCCAGAGAGGCTATAGCTCTGGGTACGACAGACTTTGTAGAGGAGGACATTGATAAAATAATGGAGGAGCTTGGAAAGGAGTTCAAGGGGAACTCCTACCACCTGATGCACAAAAACTGTAACCATTTTTCTTCTTCGCTGTCTGAGGTTAGTTTACTCCACAGACGCCTTTTTTTTGCCTGTCTTTTTTTATAAATGATAGGACTAGGCTGTATACAACTTCACTGACTGATGACATTCTACATTCTCACATGATTTTATTCTCACTTTCTCTAGTTGCTGTGTGGTAGAGAGATCCCACGCTGGGTCAATCGATTGGCATATTTAAGCTCCTGTATTCCATTTCTGCAGAGTTGTCTGCCTAAAGAGTGGCTCACACCCGCCGCGCTCCAGTGCCATATCAGCATGGGCCTTCGGAAGGAGAACACACACTCACACACACACGATTCCAGTTACGATGAGCCCTCGTCTGCCACAGAGGCGGCCGCTGGATCATCACACAGCTGCAGGCACACCCGCGTGTGATCTTACATATATATTTAGACGCAGTTTTACACTAATTTGAACACACATACACTCCAACCTCTGATCCTGCTGCTACAGCGCCTCCTGCTGGACTGGATGAATGCCAGACCTCATGGCCTATCTGAATGAGGAAATCAAAGTCATGTTTTTCAGTAGAGCCTACAGGGATTTAAAAACCTTGCAATGGTACTCTTAAAGTTTTAGAATTGTTTGATTTTTACTCAGATTTTAGGGAAATGAAAACAGTGTTTGCCATTTAGTGTTCTCTCTCAAGTTCTCTCAAGTGCATAGGACAATATGAATGATGGGCGATCATGGTGGACTACTGGCCCCCTGCTGGTGTGTGATAGCACTACAGGCCCTTTCCTCATAAATCCTGAACTTTCATCTGGATCTGAATGTTCTCCAGATTTAGCCAATTTTGTTGTGTTATAAATTATTTTCTATTTTGTGATGGAATAAGTGTGTCATCTGAAGAGGAACTTACATTCCTTTAACCATACTTTTTTCCTCAGTGACTTATATATAGTAATATTAATCTGCTTTAATGTAATTATATGATGTCAAACTAATGTCATCTTTGGTTTACATTAATTTTATTTCTAGCTCTTGTTTTTTTTTTAATATATTTTAGTTCAAGGTTTTCAATGAATTTACCCTAAAAAGTCGATGGCACCATGTGTCTCAGACATACTGACAACAGTTGGAAATTGCAGCCTTATAACTGTAAGCCATTGATATGCTGGACTCAACTGAAACAAAAGACCCCTGTTGTTCAGTCGTTGAGGACGCAAAGGGGGCATTTGTGAGCATGATGTTGAGGGGATGGGTAGGATCGAGTGAGGGGTCTGCACATCAGGTCTGGTATCAGTAGTACTGTATGACAGTGTTGTGATTAAATGCAATGTCTGAGTGATTAAGAGAAAGGGAGTGTTGCAAAGGTGTTAATGGTCATTTCTCTTTACTTTAGTAAATTTGGTTTCTGGCTTTTAAAAGTGCAGACTGAAAAGAGTAATGTTGTTAAAATGAGCCATCCACACCTCACTATATTACCTTTGCACAAATTTTTGGGCTGATTTTCAGTCTGGAGTAGTTGATGGTAATTGCTAAAAGTCAGAGCCAGATTTCACAGAAAATTGATTTATGTATGATGGTCACAAACTTGATTTTTTTTTGCTTCAGACTATGATTCCATCCATTCGGAGGATCAAACATGTTTGAGTTGCATTCAGCATGACTTGTAATTGTGTCATACTTAATTGTTTAGTGAAGGATGCCCAGTTTTTCTCTGTAAGCATTTACAAAGTCAGCAAGCATATAATGCCTAGTGTTTTAAAAATCTGTTCAGATTTTAAAAGTTGTGAAATGTATTCCAGCCTCAACAGTAACTTAAGGCCACAACTAAAGGTTGTAAGGTCTTTCCACAGTCTTCAGGCAATAGACCTTAGTAAAGGTAGACACCAGATCTAATTTTTCACAAATGAAAATAAAACTGGGAGAGATGTACAGATTATTCAGTAGGTTGAATGTCTTATGGTCCTATGGCAATTTTCTATTGTTTTACCCACAGATGTCATTAGAAAAGCATATTTTCAGTATTTTGTCAGTTGATAGATCAACAGCAAAGTTAAAAATATTTCAATGTCTGTTCATTTGTAAAATATTAATTATGGTGTATACCCTGACTATGGTCCATATCAGTAAATGATACATCTCGCAGTATTATTTTGACCTTCTGGACCATTTTGCCTGTCAGACACATCTCTAGAAGCTCATCCTGTCCTCTGTTTCAGGATGGCATGGCATTGTAGGTGGCAACGGGTGTTTCATGAGTCAAATCTATAGGAAATATGTTTTTGGCAACATATTTATAAAACTGAATTTTATATTTGGAATATGATTTTATTTACTGTTATTTTTTCAAAGATATTATCAACCTGTGGAGCCCAATTCTTATGATGCAATTTTTGTTTTATTTAGTCCACAACTGAGATCTTTTACTAGTTAAGCGAAGACCCGTTTTGTAGGCATTACCCACTGATGCCATTTCTAGCCTTGATTAGTACTTCTTGTTTTGATGTGATTGATAATTTCAGACATTTACAGATGAATAGAGAATAAAGAAATTCAAAGTTTTTTTCCCCAGAATTTCATTGCTGTCATGGGGTGGAGATGGACACGGTCATTTCTTTTAAACATTGATCAAATTCTCACCTAATACCAAGAGTCATTGTTCTCATGTGACTCCTGATATGTGACCCTGGACCACAAAACTTGTCTCAAGTTGCAGGAGTATATTTGTAGCAACAGCCAAAAATACATTGTATGGGTCAAAATTTTTGATTTTTCGTTTATACCAAAAATCATTAGGATATTAAGTAAAGATCATGTTCCATGAAGATATTTTTTTTATAATTTCCTACTGTAAATATATTAAAACGTAATTTTTGATTAGTAATATGCATTGCTAAGAACTTCATTTGGGCAACTTTAAAGGCGATTTTGTCAGTATTTTGATCTTTTTGCACCCTCAGATTCCAGATTTTCAAATAGTTGTATCTCGGCCAAATATTATCCTATCCTATCAATGGAAAGCTTATTTATTCAGGTTTCGAACAATTATTAAAACCATTATGACTGTTTTTTTTTTGTGGTCCAGGGTCACATTTGTTCAGCAGTAAAGATAGCCAGATCATGTGATGTCTTTGGTTTCAAAACTGGATCAATCCATTTCCAACTGTGTAAACTGAGCTCAAATGGTGAATATAAATGCTATCAATTAAATGTATTTTAGCACTTTATTTGATTAAATGTTGTATCTTGTATAAGTATATAAGAAATCGTGAAATAACCATTTCCAACACGTTTACGTACGCATGCACGAGCCTCGCCTGCCATTACCCTCCCCCCTTGCGCGTGAACGAGGTTGAGGTCTCTGCAGAGCAAAAGAGGGCGTTTCTGAATTTGTGGGTGTTTTCAAACTGTAGGGTGTTACTCAATCATGCAATAAATATGATCCTCTTACCTAACCCCACCCCTAAACCTACCGTCACTATGACGTCAGCCAATCAGGAAACATGGTCTAGAAACGCCCCGATCTGGTAGCGCTCATTACTTTCCTGCAGAGACCTGAACACGCATATAAATACTTCTGCGCGCGGCCGCGTTCCCCAGTCTCGAAGACAGCGCCATTTTGTCCTGTAAGCAGAGGTGAGAGGACGAAGCCGAATTCTTAAAATTACCTTTTGTTATACATGTATTGTTAGTTTAGTGTTTTATTTGATCTTTGTTATTGCAAAACTAATTCATTTTGACGGTATTTTGTCCATTTTTGCGGTTTAACATAGAGTAAAGCTATCTGCGCATGCTGACTGGGCCTCGACCGCACGGCTGATCCGTGTTCATTAGTCGTGGTATAATTTCTCAAAACGGACTTTCTTGTTTCCCCCCCTGATTTAAAGATATTCGTGATTTATAGCAACACTGTGGTTTTTGGCACTGGATGGGTGTATATAGTAACGTTAATTTTATCAGTATCAATTCAGTGGTTCTGCTGAGTCAACAGGCCGTAACGTTAACTTAGGTGTTTTTGTTTAAATCCTTTTTAGAAACGAGTTTTAGGTTAGTTGAAGACCCCTGTTGCAGAAAACCATATTACTCTCATTTCATGAATCGGTTTGCATGTTTATTTATTTACGTGGACTGACTGGACTAAATGATTATCCTGTGTCATACCGTGTGTGACCAGCAGGCGCACAGATGCGGTTCAAAAGTACGTGTTTGCCAGACTGTTGATTAACAGTACTTTAACGCTCTTTCTCCAGATTTCCCTGATTTTTCATCACCATGAGTGGATGTCGTGTGTTCATCGGCCGTCTGAGCCCTCATGCTCGTGATAGAGACGTGGAGAAGTTTTTTAAAGGCTATGGACGCATTCGGGAGATTAACCTAAAAAACGGGTTTGGCTTTGTGGTGAGTGATTTCACACCTGTAGGTCGATTGCTTTGTTCTGACACCAGGGGTTAAATTGCTACAATGTTGCAATTTCATCTTGGTTCGGTTCGCATTCACAAGGCAATATTTCCAAACAATATTTCCAAACGGACCAAACTTTGTTAATACAAGTCACGTGCCAGTAAACTCTCCTTTAATTGGTCAGAGTGCATCTGTTTATTTTCCGGAATTCCGTTCAAAGTTGTCATCCATTAGGATATATATATATATTTGTTGACGGAGTTTCTTTGCCTTTAAGTGCTCACTAAACACTTTATAAATTACTGTGTATTTGTGTGTTTTGGAGAGCTGTTCGGCAATCTGTTCGTCTGACCAAATTTCAGTTAAACATTTCACTTTTTCCCTACTCCAAGTTAGCCCACGGTTCATTTTGGGAGCCATTAGCAATACAATCCCTGCTACGTAATTACCCATCATACATTGTGGCACAGCCTGGTCCGTTGGGTCGGATTGCTTTCACACTTATAGCAAACCGCTCCAGAGTTCGTTTGCAATCGGGCCAGGACCACCTCGTTCAAGCGGTCTCGGAGCGGTTGTTTTGGTGCGGATCCGAGTGCGATTGCTGTGTTCACATATGCCTAAACGAACCGAATCAAGGGAGAAAACGCACCAGGTTCCGAAACAAACGCTCAGGTGTGAAAACCCCCCTTATGGTCTTTTATGTGTGAGGTGATGGTGAAACCTGTGTCTTACTGCCCCCTGCTGTCTGTTTTTCACAGGAGTTTGATGACCACAGGGATGCAGATGACGCAGTGTATGAGCTGAATGGAAAAGAGCTGTGCAGTGAGAGGTGAGACTGAATCCAGAGCTGCTTACACCATCTGCCTAATGTCGATGATTGTTTCAGTCTTGTTTCACGCGGTTGAAGTTGGCATTAAATGAAAATTCACCCTATTACATTAATGCGTGTTAAAGATCTTATAGAGTTCTGTGACTGCTAAACCCTGAAGACTAATTCACCCTAATTCCCTAGAGATTTTTCTATGGGTTTTTATAATTGGGTTTTTCAATTTGAGGAAAACAAGGTCTGTGGTAAATATAAATTGAAAATACTTGGACGTGTTGCTCTGTGGTATAAATTAAACCCTGAAGACTAATTCACCCTAATTCCCTAGAGATTTTTCTATGGGTTTTTATAATTGGGTTTTTCAGTTTGAGGAAAACAAGGTCTGTGGTAAATATAAATTGAAAATACTTGGACGTGTTGCTCTGTGGTATAAATTACACACACACCCATACTAAAACTGCGTAGTTATACATATGAGGCAGTTTTTTTAATTTTTAAATTGTATTTCAAGTTGTTTACCATGACTTAAAACACCCCATTTTATAAACCCCCATAGGAAATTCTCAAAGGAACCCATGGCGAATTAATTTCTAGGTTTAGATATCATGGCTGCTGCATTCCATTGTGAGCAATCTGCATGTGCAATCATTTAAAAAAACAAAGACGCTTAATCCCTGTCCCCGCAAGCCCTTGTTCGTTTGCCTCCACTTTTGAATGAAAAGCCCACATCTCAAAATCCAATCAGTAACCGATGTATAGAAAGTCTCTGGTATACATTTATTTTCAACATTTTTAATACTCCGATGTACCTCACAATATAGAAAAAAAAGATCTGTTGCTACTTAAGATTTATCATTACTTGAATGGTTTTCTCTTAACTCCAGGGTGACCATTGAACATGCCCGTTCTCGCCGAGGAAGAGGTGGAGGCCCAGGAATGGGAGGCCGTTTCTCTCCACGCTTTGCAGGGTATCGTAAATCCCGCAGTGTGGGTTCCAGGTGTGCAAGCATATTGAGACAATCATATGCTGTTTGTTGCATTATAGTTCAAATGAGCTAACCTCTCCCCTTCTCTCAGGTATGGACCACCTGTGCGCACGGAGCACAGAGTCGTTGTGGAGAATCTCTCCTCTCGCATCAGCTGGCAGGTGAGTGTCCCGAGCTGTAGCAGCAGAGCAGTGTAGCAGCCTTCTGTGTTAGCGATTCATCCCTGCACTACTTTTGCCTTTGACATCTGTACAAGCACACACAAAATTAGTTGTCTTTGTTACTGTTAATCTGGAAGTACTTTTTTTTTTTTTTTCTCCTCTCTCTTCACCTCAGCCAAACCTTAAATAAGTAAAAATGATGATTTTAATGCTGAAAGGATCTCTAACCCAGACCCATGTTTTTCAAACCTTTTCTTTAACAGCTGTGCTCTGGTATTCTTTAATTGGAGTTGCATGCACAGCCTCCGAGGTGCATAGCGCCCTCCCCTGGTTGTGTTCTGAATAGTGTCCCTGTGGTGGCTCACCCGACACGCAGTGTCTGCCGGTCTAAGTCTTGGCTGGGTCCGTAGCACCAGACAGAGCCGTAGCACAGGATAGCCTTAGAGGAGCTGGGTAGCCGCTCTCTGGAGGGTCTGTGATGTCAGATCTGCTCCATCCCCCCCGATCTGCTGTTTGGGTCTTATTCTGTTGGTGCTGAAGCGGGGAGGGGGACAGGGTTTTGGCCCCTCCCCCATCCTCTCTCTCTCTCTCTCTGGTGGGGTCCGTTCTTATGGAGGCCGGATGGGTCATAAATGTTTTGTATGCATTGCAAAAAATGAATTTTATTATTTTTTTTTCAATGTGAATATCAAAACATCCTTAAATCAGGATACATTTATTTGAGATGCGAATGTAAAATGAAGGCTTAGAAAAATTGAACCAATTAAGTGAAGTAAAAACAAGGTACAAAATATCTGTATTTTCCAAGTATTCAAGCCTTGGGCTTTTTTTTAATGAAAAAGTGGTTATTTGTTGTTGATAAAACTATTTTTTTGTGCTCCCTCAGCAGTTACTTTTAAAGAACAAATTGACATTGCACAGTCTTATTTTCTTTATTTGGGCTTGAAAAGTTTCTCATTTGCTTTCATAAAACCTGCAGAAACCCTGACACCGTCTTGACCTGTTTTTCTTCTCTTCGCAGTCGTAGTAGGAGTCGTTCCCGCAGCAGAAGCAGCTCTCGTTCCCGCTCGCCCAGTCGGAGTCGCAGCCCTGAGCGTGGAAGCAAACGCTCCCGCAGTCGCTCAGCCAGTCGCACCCCAGAGAAGAAGACTACCAGTAACCGCTCTCCCTCCCGCTCTCTGTCTCCTCTGAGGAAACAGAGCCGCTCCCGATCTGCCTCTGCAGAGAGTCAGCACTGAAACTAATTTTGTGTGCGACTTTTTTTCTTTTTTTCTTTTCCACTTATTAATGTGGCATATGTCATTGTGCTACTTTAGTGTAAATTACTTACTGTGAGTTGAATGGGTGAGTGTGTGTGTGTGATGTTTTGATTTATTTCTTATCCTGAGGAACTCGGTGGGTTTAAGAGATAATGGAGTGGGTTAAGACTAGATATTTTTCACAATGTCTTTCTTTGATTTTTATTTGATCAATATCAATCCTGGAGTACTTCTGTAGAGAACTTAAATGTATATGGGTTTTGTTTCTCAAACTCGCCTGTTAATTTTTGTTTGTCTTTATGGTTGTTCAACAGAAGGGTTATGCCTGTATATACACTCTGGAATAAAGTATATTGGTATTTGCCAGAGAAAGAAGTGTTTCTTCTAGTGCCCTCAGATGTGTGCTTAATTTGATTAGTGTGCCTCTGCATTGGTTACAAACACCACAGCTTAATTATCTACCTTGTAACTTTTAACTGTTATCTGATTTGCAGTAAAATAAACTCCTTGCCATCATTGTTCATTAGTCATGTAAAGTTTGAAATCAAGTCTCTGTGCTGATCTTAAGATCAGTCCACTAGGTGATGCTGCTTTATAGTTTGCAAAGAAGTCTACGACCAGACATTTACACCGTTTGATCTTCACAGTAATCGTATATTAGAAATGTAATCTTTCATTGGGTGACTAGGAGCGTTCAAAAGTGAACCTTGATTTTAACTTTGATTTCTGAAAAAACTAGATCAAATGTTTTCGAGGGTATCTGTATCAAACAACTACCTTTTTGTTTATTTGATAAACAAAAAGATATGCATCTGCATCAGTGGCTGCATGTCTGTGGGAATCGGTAGTTTCCATCTAGGGCCTCAACATATACACAGCACAGAAACCAGGAGTTATTGATTCAGATAATACTGTATGAGAAACACTTGAAACCTGTATGTTATAAATCGATCTCTTGCTATGAGGATCTTGACAACCACATACTGAAAAATATGAATGGGAGGCGATATTGTAACATCTGCACTGTCCAAGGAGAAAAAACCAACCCTCCCTCCATGCCTCTACCAGCCCTTTAATCATTTTGCTCATAAAACTAGTGCTCTCTGCACTGCGTGAAAAGTTTCTCATTTGCTTTCATAAAACCTGCAGAAACCCTGACACCGTCTTGACCTGTTTTTCTTCTCTTCGCAGTCGTAGTAGGAGTCGTTCCCGCAGCAGAAGCAGCTCTCGTTCCCGCTCGCCCAGTCGGAGTCGCAGCCCTGAGCGTGGAAGCAAACGCTCCCGCAGTCGCTCAGCCAGTCGCACCCCAGAGAAGAAGACTACCAGTAACCGCTCTCCCTCCCGCTCTCTGTCTCCTCTGAGGAAACAGAGCCGCTCCCGATCTGCCTCTGCAGAGAGTCAGCACTGAAACTAATTTTGTGTGCGACTTTTTTTCTTTTTTTCTTTTCCACTTATTAATGTGGCATATGTCATTGTGCTACTTTAGTGTAAATTACTTACTGTGAGTTGAATGGGTGAGTGTGTGTGTGTGATGTTTTGATTTATTTCTTATCCTGAGGAACTCGGTGGGTTTAAGAGATAATGGAGTGGGTTAAGACTAGATATTTTTCACAATGTCTTTCTTTGATTTTTATTTGATCAATATCAATCCTGGAGTACTTCTGTAGAGAACTTAAATGTATATGGGTTTTGTTTCTCAAACTCGCCTGTTAATTTTTGTTTGTCTTTATGGTTGTTCAACAGAAGGGTTATGCCTGTATATACACTCTGGAATAAAGTATATTGGTATTTGCCAGAGAAAGAAGTGTTTCTTCTAGTGCCCTCAGATGTGTGCTTAATTTGATTAGTGTGCCTCTGCATTGGTTACAGACACCACAGCTTAATTATCTACCTTGTAACTTTTAACTGTTATCTGATTTGCAGTAAAATAAACTCCTTGCCATCATTGTTCATTAGTCATGTAAAGTTTGAAATCAAGTCTCTGTGCTGATCTTAAGATCAGTCCACTAGGTGATGCTGCTTTATAGTTTGCAAAGAAGTCTACGACCAGACATTTACACCGTTTGATCTTCACAGTAATCGTATATTAGAAATGTAATCTTTCATTGGGTGACTAGGAGCGTTCAAAAGTGAACCTTGATTTTAACTTTGATTTCTGAAAAAACTAGATCAAATGTTTTCGAGGGTATCTGTATCAAACAACTACCTTTTTGTTTATTTGATAAACAAAAAGATATGCATCTGCATCAGTGGCTGCATGTCTGTGGGAATCGGTAGTTTCCATCTAGGGCCTCAACATATACACAGCACAGAAACCAGGAGTTATTGATTCAGATAATACTGTATGAGAAACACTTGAAACCTGTATGTTATAAATCGATCTCTTGCTATGAGGATCTTGACAACCACATACTGAAAAATATGAATGGGAGGCGATATTGTAACATCTGCACTGTCCAAGGAGAAAAAACCAACCCTCCCTCCATGCCTCTACCAGCCCTTTAATCATTTTGCTCATAAAACTAGTGCTCTCTGCACTGCGACGCTCTCGTCAAGGGCAAACAGATAAAATAATACTGCAAACAAACAACAGAAGTGTTTTGAGATCAGATGGCTAAGAGCAATTTGTTCCTTATGAGAATACATTTGTTGTTTGAGAAATACACACACAAAACGGAGACCGCGAGACCCAGAGAGAAGCGTTTGCGCTGATGATGCACGTCAGAAAACCAGAAGTCGCAACGGTAACTATAACCATGGTGTTGTGGCAGAAATAGTCGAATCAATGTTATTGCATTATTCATTTCAGGTTTTGTACAACCATTTGAGAGAGAAATTCTAGCACTTTTCAATGACTTTCAAACATTTCACCCAACTGTTTCCAGCACTTTAAAGTTATAAAAATTATCCAATTTAAATGTTAGCCTATTTTAATGACCAAAATATACTTTGTGGTAAACAAACACGGTAAATTAAAAACTACTTCAAATGACCACTATTACCAGTAGATGGCAGCAGAGGAGCATTTATTGGCTTATTAGACATTCATCACTACTTTTTGCTTTATATTTTGAAATGATAAAAATCACTATTATAAAATATCAAATCATCAATAAATCAAATTTTGTCACAAAGTGCCTTGAAATGTTTTTTTTTCTTCAATTTGCATTTGAATCACACAGTGAACAAATCACCATGATCATAGTTATCACGGTATTGTTAAAAAGTGTTGAAAATGTTCAAAAAGTACTCATACACACAAGCTGAAGGTGGACATTTTCAACAAGTAATTTTCGGAAATTGCGCCACTGCATCTACACGACACAAACTTGTATTATTTGAACAAGTTTTATTACATTTCGTTCCTGAAATCCACCCTTCACCTGGGATCAGGATAATCTTGATTTTTTTGGATAAAAGATTATATAAGTATATTTTATTATATTATTATCTTTAGAGAATGCTAGTGTTATAAGTGAAATTGATGTCCAGGATACTGGGAATTTGGAGTAGCTATATAATAATATAATATAATGACAGAATATTATAAAAAGATATTTGTGAGATATTTAAAAGATAATTAACCCATGTTAAGATCCATTATTGTTATTTTATTTATATTTTACCTTGACCAACTTAATCATGCAGTAGATACCATAAATGTTTAATGCTTGCTTTTTGCAAAACTGGTGGAAATAAGCAAGTCCCAATACCCAGTATACTAACGTTACCAGTATGTTTAAGTCCAAATGTCCTTTACTTGCAAGCACCGTAATAAAATACTTTAACTGTACACTCCCAGCATGACGTAACAGTTCATTTATAAACAGCACTAACGTTATGTACTTTCTCTAGCTGTCCCGTTATTTACTGCCCATCGAGTGTGCAAGAGCGCAGATGAGCCAGTCGCTGGTACAACCCTTGGTCACGTGACTTCCTGCGGCGAGATACTGCTGCTGCAGTTTCTTGTCGCAAGCGCTCGGTGCACGATGTGGAAATTCCGAACCACAGCGGCATGAAGCTGCACGCAGACACCGTACGCGAATCGCTGCGCCACCCGTGAACGGTAACCCGGCTCCATAGAGCAGCGGATTAACAGCCGTTTGAGCGGGAAGGATTTAGATCCAGCGCGTTCCTGAGGGAGAAGTTTGATCGCTGTGTGTGTCGGTGTCGGCTGGAGGTGTACGGGACACCAGCAGCGAGAATGGCGGAGAGAAGTGGCCGGTTAAGCTTCCCCGGGAGCGGGGCGCTAAACAGACCGGTGCCTATGAACCTGTTCGCCACCTGGGAGATAGACGGCTCCTCTCCTAACTGCATCCCCAGGTGAGAGTCACGCGTGATCGGACACACAGGTGGGCTGTTTGTGAGCGGGCGGGCAGGCAGGTGCACGGCGACAGGGAGTGGTGTGTGTCTGTGTTAGACAGAGAAAGGGTGTGTGAACTAGTTTTGATTATTGTGGTGCACTGATGTCAGCATCGGATCACGGTGGGACAAATCCAGTGATGTTCTGCAGATTAGTACCGCTTTTCTGTCATTCACCATTAACTGTTAAAATGTGACCCGATTGCTCTTTTATCACTAGTCTTTTAGAGGTGATTATTATTATTATTATTAATTTCAGTTCTGCTTGGCGCGAACACAAACAAACTCTTTGGCCTTTGTGACGTCGGGTTCCGCTCTTGCGCCGCGCTCGGGTGAGCTGGCACGCTTTTTGTTATGAATCGGGTTCGCCGGAGGGGTCGAGCTGTCATCAACACGGGCCGGTGTCGTGCAGAATAACCCAGTGGGTCTACTAGATGCACTGCCACCGGAACATAACGTTCAGACCCAGAATTTCAGAGACTGCTACTTCTTTATTTGCTGTCATGAGTCATCAACATATAAATGTATTTATTTATTTCTAAACCACAAATTAGATCAAAACAGGCTTGACTAAAACCATATGTGTGCTGGCATTTGTTTCTGTCCCATATAATAGTTATGATGAACTATGGGTGGTGTCCACAAATGACCTTTAAAAGGCAGTTCGCCCATAAAAGAAAATTCTGTCTTCATTTACACACCCTCATCACTTACAGGAGAAATTATAATGCCTGACTTGCCTGTAATGATAATTTTTTCACTGCAGTTGCAAAGAATGGGGAGGGACCAGAGCTTTCAAGCTTCAAAAGCTATCATAAACTGGGCCCTATAAAGACCACAAGTCTTCTGAAGTCACGTGATAGCTTTGTGTGAGGAGCAGTTCAAAGTGAAAGTCATATTTCACTGAACAAATCATTCTTTTGAGTCTTGTCTTTTCAATGAATCAAGTAGTTCACAAAACCAGACTGAATGGTTTGTTCAGCATTTGGATTGATCAAGTTCTCGAGTTCTCCTCACTGACTAAATGATCCAGTCTAAAGGAAGAGGATGATTTTTTTGTGAAAAACAACTTCTCATGGCTATAGAGCTGAAATATAGTGTGGATTACTTTTCATGTTGCTTTTTTTGTCATTTTGGAGCTTCACAGTCCTACTCTGTAAAAAATACCCCATTAAAGGGGTGGTATTATGCTTTTTCACTTTTTCAACTTTAGTTAGTCTGTAATGTTGCTGTTTGAGCATAAAAAAGATCTGCGAAGTTACAAAGCTTGAAGTCCAATTCAAAAGGAGATATTTTATTTAACAGAAATCACTTTTTAAAAACTACAACGAACGACTTGTTTGGACTACAACGCATATTTTCCGGGATTTGTGATATCACAGATATCGACGAATGGGACGAGACCTGGTTGAGCTGCACTAGAGAAGGGAACGAGTGTTATCACTATGTCAGAGACACGCTAGCTTTCCCAAGGCAGACGAACTTAGAGTGGTTACAATCATCCGGGTTTAAATTGCGCTCAAATTTATTTGATTTTGACGCAATATTTACACTGAAGCTTGCAGGCGGCTATGGTAAGGGGCATGACATTTCCCGACCAGGCGCCGAGTGCTGCCAATCACAACACACACTGGCCCGGATAACCAATCACAGCACATTTCGTATTTCAGAAGGCGGGCCTTCATTTGATACAGGAACTATTCGAGCCGTTCATACCAGACTGGGGAGAGAGGTGTTGTAATCATGTAAAATATGTGAAAAATAATGTGTCTTTCGAACAACCTAGTATGAGAGCCTGTTCTAGTACATCCCCAAAACAAAATCAAGACTTTGTAAAAGAGCATAATAGGACCCCTTTAAATATCTAGTAAAAAAAGTGGTATGGTTGCAAGAAGTTCATTGTAATAAATGCTACGACAATGTTTTCGGTATTATGGGATGCCTGTGTATTTTACAATAATTGTATATTTTATTAAGTTATATAATGTTAATATACTAAACTATGTGAACTACCAAAATCCACTTTTTACATTAAAATGTATCACCCTAATAATGCAGGTGGCAATAGAAAGCTACATGTTGAATACTCCTCACAAATTTACCTTTTCTGTTACACAAAAAAACATCATTCAGGTTTTGAACGACACAATGGTTAGAAATGACAGAATTTTCATTTTCTGGTGAGCTATCCCTTTAAAACAGCCTGAACTGGAGCAAATGGTGAGATGGATGGGGAATAAAGAGAGAGAGATGTGCCTTATGAATTCTTGATCATAATAAAAGATTCACAACTGTACCACAGACATATTTTCCCCCAGGCCCTTTGTCTGCTCACTGTATATGTGTGAGGAGCACGACATTTGCCCGTAGAATTCTAACAGTTAATTATGTGTTAATTTAAAGGTCTGTTCTGTGCACATAATTGAAGCTGAGAGCAGAATCTGAGAGAAACAACTCATCACAGTGAGACACACTCATACATCTCCGTCATAAAAATGACATTAGCTTTAGTTTTTAATGAACTAATTAATGAGCTACAGCAGCTGGTCTTCTGAGCTTTTCTGTAGGATTTTCCCCTTGAGCTTCCACTGCAGTGGGTGTGGCCTAGTTTGGAGATACTGTCTGATTGGCTAGGCCTGAAGTGGTGGGTCCGTATTGTAGGACTGCTTTTCTTATTTCTGGCTGAGAATTGTGAATATATTATCTAAGTGGCACTCAGAGATGTTTTGCCGGTTTTCTGGTGAACATTTAATTCTTTGCAGTGTTGTTATTGTTAACTGAATCTATAAAAATATTTTTTTAATTAAACATGCATCTGACACTCAGTCAATGTGTCTGAATGAATGAATTTGTGTTGAATGACAAGAATCATCATCATTCAGATTTACACTGCAAAATAGGTCATAACACATAGTCTGAAGCCTGTGTGATTGTTGTGTGTTATGATAGATTTGATAGATTTAAAAGGGCTTAATATTAGTTCACTGTAGCTGGCATAATCCTCACGTTCAATTAAGCTGTCAGAGCCGTCACATTCTGACTGGTTGAGTCCCGCTGAAGTCAGTCAGAGACTATCAGAGTGTGAGAAAACAGAAGGTAACTGAATGCTACAAGGCATAGAAGTGTCAACCATGAATAAAATAAATAAAGCAGAAAAGCTGATCCGCGTCTATCATGTTAGTCATTCACTTTTCAGTACATCATTTGAATGTGAAGTGCGTTGAAATCTGTGAGAAATGTTTGTGTAATATGACGATTTGTTCTGTAACTGGATTGTAGAAAGCAGTCTTGTTATTGTTAACTGAAACTAAAACTTCACTAATTGAAATAAAGCTGAAACAATAGCTGAAATGTGAATATTAGATGAAGTTGAAGTACTAACATTGATAAAGGTACTGAAATAGGCCTAAAAGTTAAAGCAATATAGAAATATAAAAAAACCAAAAACAACAATGAATAAAACCACATAGCAAAATTACTAAGACTTAAAGGCGAAGCGGATATCGTCCTCTTTTGGAAGACCAAACAAAGTAGTTTCGCTTTCACAACGAAGCACACAGTGTCTCCATGACATGGCGGCAGCGGCAACAATACTACAGGGAGACTAAAAGTTACGCCTTCTTTCTTTGCGTGAACATTTGGGCAGCATTATGCAAATCTTCCCACATAGTGAGGTAGATATGTGGGGGCATGTTAGAACGAGCCGTTTTAGGTAGGCGTGGTTAACTTTTAACTTTTATAAAGAATATCTCTTTGGATTTGAGACTTTAGTCTTTGCAACTTTACAGATCTTCTTTATGCACCAAGAGCTTGTAACGCTCCAAAGAGAAAGGAAAAATTGAAATCGCATCATATGACCCCTTTAAACTAAAATTGAAACGAAAAGTGAAAATGTATAAATAAAAGCTCATTCAAAATACTATTATAGGAAGTTATGCGGTCATGTCTTGATAAATGAAATTGTTCTTGTTCTTTTGAGTTCATTGTACTATGAAAACTTGCATTCAACTTCCTCCAGAAAATCTAAAAATACCATCTACTAAAACTGTGCTGCCAAAATGGTTTGTTTCTGACATCAGAAACCTAAACTTATTAACACATGGCCGCCCACGTTTACACATCAACAACGCCTGTTCAGTGTTGAGCGTGGCCCGTCTAGTCACGTTGAAGTAATACTGAGGCAGTAGGAATGATATTGTTAGTCCTAAAAACCAGAAAACTTATTTACATTTAATTATAGCTAATATCAATGGCAGATATTACAATTCTATACTATTTTGTCTAAATAAATTCAAAATGAAGCATTACGAACTAAAATCAGTAATTTTAAATACTACAAGTGAATTTAGGCATGACAACGTTATAATGTATAGTATGAAAAATGGATATTCATTTTGAGATTTGCTATAGATTTAATTTCACAGCGTTATTAAATGATTCATGTTTTTAAATATTAAATTTGAGTGTTACATGATGAAAAGGTAATTTAATAGTAAAAATAAGGAAAATAAGCACTATTTAAATAACCAGTTTTAATAGGGTTGCAAAGGGGTGGAAAATGTCCGTTACATTTCCGAAAACTTTCCAAAAATCCCTGGAATATTCCAAAAAATCCTGGAAATTTTCCACATTTTTGCAACCCTAGTTTGAACTAATAAAAAAAACTCTAATATTGGCTGATAAGTGATTTTCTGTATATCCTGAGAGTAAAATTACATTCACTAGCAGGAGCTTAAATACAAACTTATTGTTTATAGTGACGCTGTGCTGCTGACTGTGTGCATGACCCCATTATGGTCCTCCTTTGTATCTTCTCAAGTGGGCATCGTTTTCACTAAAACAATAGAAATCTCTCTCTCTCTGATTGAACAGGCTGTGCTAGGCAGTCATATTTGTGTGTGTTGGAGGAGTGTATGCTGCGTTCTCACCCAGAGGGAAGAAACAGTCACGGCTTTGTCTTT